TTGCATGGGAAGCATTGTTATATCTTTTTTGGGAGGGTAATCAAGTTTTTGAAATGCATATAGCTGCTATTAGAATGTGAAATAAACAGGGTAGAAAAATTAAGCTAAAAAATGTTGAGAATAGTGGCTAATGTATCAGACATGAACATGTATAGAACATTTCTATCATTTTAGAAACTTCTTTTGGATAGTGGTTATATATTTTATATAATGAGGAACTAGATATTATTATAGTAAAAATTTTAAGAGTTAGTGTTAGCATACCTGGACTCTTGGAGAGATTGTGTGATACAGTTAAGTGAATACTACACCATGCTCTTTCTCTAAGGAACACTAACCTAATTCACAGTGAGCACTAACCAGTTGAGGTTCGGGATATCAAGCTTTGATTCTGGTTCTGCTTTGTGTTGTATGAATTTGCAAGCCTTAGAAACATGGAAAGTTTTCTCAACTTCTTAAAGAGATACTACCATCTCTCAAAAACATTAAAAAGAGACAAGAAACAGCTAATATGTATTCACTGCGTAGAGATATTTGAAAAAAACATTTTTAAAAAGAAGAAAAATCTTATCTTTAAAGAAAGACTTGCTATCTACCATCCATTTCGTTCTTTTCGTTAAGATACCATGATATCGTTCATTCTGTAGTCTTGAAGATGCACTTCTCTCTTACCCTCGTAACTTTGTATGGCTGAAGTATTAGATCATTTGTAAAAATGACTTAAACTTGAATTTTGTGTTTATATTTAATTTTAGGTTTCCAAACCATGTTTGTTTCAGACCGTAAGCACTGAGAGAATGCATGTTTCCTAGGACATGAAGTTAAAAGGTTAAGGAACTTATGGGGCACCTGGGTGGCTCAGTCGGTATGATTTTGGCCCAGGTTGTGATCTTACCTTTTGTGAGATGGAGCCCCATGTCGGATTCTGTGCTGTGATAGCACAGAGCCTGCTTGGAATTTTCTCTGTCCCTCTCTGTTTGCCCCTCTCCAGCTTGCACTCATGCAGTCTGTCTGTCTGTCTGTCTCTCTTTTTCAAAATAAGTAAATAAACATTTTTTTAAGTTAAAAAATGAAAAGTTAAATTTTTGAAGAGAAATAGAAGAATTAGAGAGGAATGGAGGGTATGTCCAGAAGAATTTAATTGATACAGAGATCAAAACATATAAAAACCTCATTTCTAAAATAACCCTTTTATTTTTTACTTTTTAAAAAAAAATGTTTATTTTTGAGAGAGAGCATGCACAAGCAAGGAAGGGGTAGAGAGAGGGATATAGCAGTGAGCTGGATGGGAGCTCGAACTCACAAATCTTGAGATCACGACCTGAGTCCAAGTGGGATGCTCAACCAACTGAGACACCCAGGCACCTCCAATATATCCCTTTTATAGACCAGAAATTTTTAAGTCTTTGCTGATAATGCTTATCCAGATTCTATCCAGAAAAGAATAATTTAATAGGCCACGGGAGTTAATTGTATTAGGGTTTTACGTAATATCTTTGTCTCTCTTTTCTTAGGTAAAACTTAGTCATAAATCTCTCAGTTAAATATAATTTATGTGTCTGTATGAAATTGATGATCCGAATCTTGCTAGTGTAGGAAAGTTAATTTGAGGAAAGCTCTGTACTGTTACCTCTGATGAAATGATAGTCTCTTTGCTCTCTCCTGCTGTGTACCTATCTGTTGCTTTAGAAGCATGGCATATGAGACTTGTTTTGAGGCCCAAGAGTTTAAAGGGAAAAGACATAAAAAATGTGGCTGAGTGTTTCATATTATGACACTGTTGGTTCCTGTATTAAAGTTATCTGAGATAGTTACCACTTTATATTTAGCAAAACAATTCCTCTCATTTTGTAAATAGTTGTAAGCTTATTGGTGATTTTAATGATTGGTGTATATGAATATTTAATGATAAGCAAGTGTTAGATTTAAGTATTTTCTAAACTGTGTTCCCATTAATCTAAAATAGTGTTGCATAAATACTTTATATAAAATACTGGGTTTGTATGAAACACAAGCTCAATGTTGAACAGCAATTGGCCCTCAGTACATTTTGAAATGTTTTTGAAAGAGTGAGGGAGAAGTTTAATTTGTATTTGAGTTTATCCTAAACCTAATCATCATTTTATTTTATTTTATTTATTTTTTTTTAAAATTTTTTTTTTTTTCCAACGTTTATTTATTTTTGGGATAGAGAGAGACAGAGCATGAACGGAGGAGGGGCAGAGAGAGAGGGAGACACAGAATCGGAAGCACGCTCCAGGCTCCGGGCCATCAGCCCAGAGCCCGACGCGGGGCTCGAACTCATGGAGCGCGAGATCGTGACCTGGCTGAAGTCGGACGCTTAACCGACTGTGCCACCCAGGCGCCCCCATCATTTTATTTTCATATTAGAATTATAGAATGTTTCTAAATGTTTTCCTCCATACTTTACTAACATCATATATAAACAGAATTTCCAGTCCTTCCTTTTCTCTCTGCCCTATTTTAATTATGGGTTTTTAGGAGTTTCTTTGCTTTATTTACTCTCTCCCCATAGCTTCTACAAAATTTCAGCAAGAGTTCTCTCCTTCACAGTGTGTTAATTTTTTTTATTGTGTTAACCTAGCTACTTTTCAGTCAGAAGGTCTGGATTTAAAACCTGGCATACAAGGTAGATCAGGCAAGGTTCTGAAAGGAAACTGAATCCAACTGAGATGGTGCGAGAGACTTTCACGAAGGATTGCAGATAAAGGGGTGGATTAAGGGAACCCACAAGGGATGTTCCTGTAGTTACAGAGGGAAGCAAGGAAAATACAGTGTTTTTAGAGCCTGATGAGAGCTGTGGAGAGGGTGATAAGGGGACACAGCTTCTGTCAGAAAATGTGACCAAAAGGGAGGATGCTGGGAAGAAATAATTCGGCCTTCTCTGCCTTCTGATCTGCCAGTGACAGCCCTGAAACTCAGAAGGTGCATTTGTTGAGGTTAGCCTCCTTTGGCACAGAGTTGGATAGAAGAGTATTGGAGGAATAGGGTAGTGACAGTAAGTAATAACCAGTACAACTACTGATGAGTATGGGATTGATTTTAGGTAACATAATATTTTAGATTACATTTCCAATCTGTAAACTGTAGATACTTCACTAGGATTGATGTGAGCATTAAAATGAGACCTGGTAAACATGTCAGAGTACTATCATAGTGCCTTTGTCTTGTAGATACTTGTTTTTAGTTTTGATAAGGTGAGGATTTGAAAACTTCAGCTTCCTTTCACATGGTGCTGTGCTGCATTTGTTTTATAGGAATTTTGGTTGTCACTGTATTTAAATATATATGATAGTTTTTATATTTTCCAGTATTTTTTGAGAAGTGAATTGCAGTCATTATTGAGTAGTTACCAAGATTTAGAGACTGCTTTTACTTATTGTCCAATGACAGGCATTGTCTTTTTCACTCTTGCTGTAGACAGAGCACTACCGACTACTGAATTTGTGGAGTGAGGAAGCTTTACAGATGTAGAGATTAGACTTTGGTGAAAGATTGGTCAGACTTCACCCTGCTACTGCTACCATTGGTGTACCCTTGTTGTGTACTTCTCTTTTCTTTCTTTTTTTTTTTTTTTTTTT